ATAGGGCTGCTGCATAGCACTTTTTATTATGTTTTGCATGCGTCTGGTCAGAGACTCGTCTGTTTGGGTTAAATACAGGTTAACTACGTGTTGTGGCATGCTTGCTGCTATCTCTCCAATCTTCTGTCGTGCTGTTAAGACAACCTCTTTCCATCCTTTGCTGTTAAGAGTGTTGTAACATTCGAGRACAACACTTTTTTCTTTCTCTCCAATTCCGACCCGACTTTTCTTGGAGGGACCTAAAATTCGTAATAAACAGCAAACTAAGTATGGTTGAGGGTTGATATCGAAAGTACCAACACAAAAGTTATATGTTTAGATACTGACCTGGCACGTCTGCTGAACAATTCATTTATTAGAAATTCGAAAGTAGYCAGCTGAGTGTAAATATGAATCCTCTYGCTCCGTACACAGCAAGTGCAATATGMAMATTTTTAGCGCACGCGTGATGATTCACGTGCGAATGGCATGAAAAATGCCGTGTTTTATGTTGGAATGCGCATCTTCGCTCAGCAGTTCATGCAGCATGGATGCGCAGCAAGTCCGAGTAGTTCTTTTAAATATAGTCGCCTGGATATTGCTGTTTGTCGCCTTTATTAGGCCACCACCTCAACAAAATCTATCCCCCTTACAACATCGTCTTTTTGAGAATTTTCACGGGGAAATATTTCGTGGTAGAGATGTGTTTTCTCTTATATCAAGGCAAGCGCACCTCTTCTGGCGGAACACTGGCGAAACTCCTGTGACGTTTCTCAAACTTGCGAACGATATCCCCCCAACCAGAACTTAAGATTAGACGGGCAACCCCGTGTACGCCAGAGGAGACTGAAAATAAACGTAGTTAACCAAGTTCTGCTTGTGATGATGTAGACTTGCCCCAAGTCGACCTCTCTTGTTTTCTCGGCGTTTTTTTAATTCGAGCGAAGCGAGAATGTTGCGAGCGCAGCGAGCGAGCGACGAAGTCGCGAGAGGTCGACTTGTCGAACTTGCAGGATATTCATTTGCGTTTCCCGCCATTTCCGAATTTGATACGGGAGGGTCGGCTTTCGGGGGCGGAGCTAAAGAATTGTGGTTTTCATTTATTTGTTTCTTCATGTTATATCCGGAGCAGCAAAACATGTTTTATCAATAATAATGGTTGATGCTATAACTCCAACTAAAACTGTTGAAAGGATAGCGATATCTCCTGCGTCCAAACAAAAAATATGTTTTCTTTGCGCCAGTCAAGTTCCGAACAATGACTATAGACGGAAATTGTTTAGTCGTCTCCAACATAGGAAGCAGAGATCCCCTTTGATTTTAAAGACGTTACTTGGTCTTTCATTAAGGAGACCAAAGGGACAACAACAACAACAGTCTCGATTAAGTTATTCTCACTGAACCTCATAAAATCTAAGGCGAATGGAGCGATCTCAAATGTCAGGCTTGTTCCCGCTCCTGTAGGTGCAGATATAAAAATATCTCTGCCTGAAAGATACGCTTCTATACTTTGTTTCTGGTATTCTCTTATAGTTTCGTATCCTAATTTACTTTTACCCTATGATATGGCCTCAGATATTGATCTCATGTTGTCAGACAGATGTTGTGTTGACAGATGCCGATGGGAATCGTAGAGATAATCTTACTAATCTTACTAATCTTACATTGTGATTGACAGCTTGGATTTCGAGCATTGYGATTGGCTATAATTTACCGACTGATTTTTGGGTCGGTAAATTTAGCGGGAAGCAAGGTCGAAAAGTCCGTCGTGCGCCCAGTAAAAAAAAAAAACAAAAACAAAGCGGGCGGCGGACTTTGCGAAAGTCTAGTGATGATGTGGTTACGTAAATATTCTCATATAGACACTTTAGCACTGTGGTTTGATATAGACCCTACGTCCGTTATCCTGCATTATTTACAGGACGTTACCAGTAATGTGGAGATATTTTCAAAATCAAATCACCTGGCCGAACCTCGMGGAGTGGAGAAATCTAATGGGCAGCTGGCCAGAGTTACCAAATGCCGTCGGTGCTATAGATGCAACCCCGCATGAGATTTATTGCCCTCTGGCGGAGCCTCAGCGACCATTTTACAGTGGCCATAGGCACTATCACTGTTTCTTCAAGCTGGCTTCTTGGGTAGCACACATGATGCGACTGCTTATAGGTTAATGCAGCCTATAGGGCCCGGTTTAGTCCTAGATTTACCGCCAGGTGTTAAACTGTTGGGCGACAGAGGTTATCCTGATGGAGGAGCTCTACTAATACCTGTTCGTGCAGGTCAGATGCCTCTATTAAACCAAAGAGGGAGGAGACGTGCCAGAAAGTTCAACCGAGCTCTATCGAAAAGAAGAGTCAAAATAGAGCATGTGTTTAAAGAGATAAAAACTTTTAAAGCGGTATCTCAGATATGGAGACACCCACGTTGGTTGCTGCCTATCTGTGTTGAATTAACAACATTTTTGGCTGAAAGACGCATACGGTTGTTCCAATAACTGCACTGAGAACTGCCCATATCCTCTGCACGGTAAAAGTGAAACAAAAGTGTTGATGATAGTGAAAGGAAACTTGAATCGTTGCAGCAAACTTTGGTCTACTCAACAAGCACGTATTAGGATACGTTTACGACCACTATGCGCGCAAACTTAAATTACGCGCTGACTTTATAGTATAATACAAACAAAGTATACATTTTCTGAAAGCTGAGTAAATATAGTTTATGAAGAAATTTTCAAAATACGATTTTTTAAATTGTTGTTCACATTATTGCCCTCGAAGCGAAATTTGACTATGCCTCAGTGAAAACGTTAACGGAGACGTACATTTTAAGCTATGTTTGCGAAAAATGGCTTAACATACTTAGGAGATAATAAGCTCAAAAAGGGTGTCCCAGATTTTTGATATCTGTTTTCTATCTCTCGCTATTTTTGATCAAAGTTCAGCAATCGCTTTTGGAGTGTTGTTTAGAGTAAAA